ATAATTATGTATATAACTGGGCCTGAGTCGAAACAAAACCGACCCGAACACAAAACTTGCACGGACTCTAGAAGCTCGTCGGTCGACCAATGCTTAGGCATCAGTCGACCGTCCAATGGTCATCGGCCGACTGATGCCTAAGCATCGATCAACCATCCAGAGGCTATTTCCAATCGACTGAACATGTGCATGTTTACAGTCGTTTATTCACATATATACACTGAATCGATCTCAAATCGATTCCTAGTATACTCAACCATTAATAAATGATATTTATCATGATATAACTCATTTATTATTATTTATCATAATATATCCAAAATTATGGGGTTTTACTATAGGCTAAGTTGCCTAGTGCAAACCATAGCATACATCGGTGATCCCACCGCACTCGCATATGGTATCCTTGACATTTTTTCTTGCTCCTCGACTGTTTGTGGACACTACTCTGAGGATAATTTGAAGTGACCAGCTAAAGGAGTAGAAACCGATCGTGCTTCATCCATGTTGAACCTTTTCAACACCTTGAGAATATAATTCTCTTGGGACAGCCAAAGTTTTCCAAAAACCCTGTCTCATGAGATCTACATACCTAAGATCTTCCTGGCTGCTCTCATATCCTTCATGTCGAAGTCCATCTTCAGCAACTGCTTGACTTTCTCGATTTGTGCCCTTTCCTTTGTGGGTCGATTGAAGCCGACCTTAATCATGAATGAGTCGAAGCGCTTGTACCACTGCCTCAGAGATTGTTTGAGCCCGTACAGAGACCTCTTAAGAAGACAAACCTTATCCTCTTTACCGTCACGGAGATATCCCTCTGGCTGCTTCATGTAACTTTGTTCCTCTAATTCACCATGCAGAAATGTTGTTTTAATGTTCATCTTCTCCAACTCCAAATCATACTGTGCAACAATAGCCAACAACAAACGAATGGACGTATGTTTGATTACGGGAGAAAAAAATCTCATTGTAGTCCACTCCTTCCTTCTGAGCATATCCATTGGCAACCAACCTTGCCTTGAATTGCTCACCATCTTTCTTCCAAAAGAACCACTTGCAACCAATCGCCTTTGAGCCTCTTGGAAGATTAACCATAACCCATGTCTGATTCTTCCCCAAAGACTCCATATCCTGATCCATGGCTGTAATCCACCCGTCACGATCATCTGCTTCAACGGACTCTCTGTAGCTACATTGGTCTCCATCTTTTGTGAATGAAGCAAAAGATATGTGATCATCGTCTTCCTAACCATATCTAGTAGGTAGCACCACTGTACGGCTCGAGCGTCTCAATGCTATTGGCTGCTCCTCCTGTGTAGTAGCTATGTCTCCATCGCCGGTTGGAGTCTCATCGGTAGGCCTACTAGGGCTTGCAGGACTTTTCGAAAACTCCACCTCCTGTACCTGAGAATCTGTAGAAGCATTTAGAGATCTACCTTGCACCTTGTCTTTTGTCTTCGAATCTACCCGCATGATAGCGTCTTCATCAAAGACCACATCTCTATCGGTAAAGGTACTGTGAGTCTCAGGATCCCATAACCGATACCCTTTGACTCCAGAAGTGAATCCTATGAAAATACATTGTCCTGACTTGGACTCCAACTTGTTTCTCTTCTGACTGTCTACAATACTATACACTAGATAACCAAATATGCATAAAGTCAAGTAGTCCGCTGATTCTCCTTGCCATATCTCCTCTGGGATCTGAAGATCAATGACTGAAGATGGTGACCTGTTAATCAAATAACATGCATGATTTATCGCTTCCGCCTAAAAACCTTCCAACATGTCTGCTTGTAGCAAGTGACTGCAGGCTCTTTCCATCAGTGTCTGATTTATGCGTTTAGCTACTCTGTTTTGTTCTGGTTGTCCTGACACACTTAATTGATACTGGATGCCTTCATTAGTCAAGTACTCTTTGAATTCCCTGGAGGTATACTCACCCCATTATCTAACCTCAAGACTTTTAATTTTAGCCCCTTCTGATTTTCCACCAACGCCTTCCACTCCTTGAACTTCTGAAAAACCTCAGACTTCTGCCTCAAGAAATAGGCCCAAAGCTTCCTGGAGAAATCATCAATGAAGATAATATAATACCTTACACCCCCAATGGATGCCTTCAGTGAGGGCACCCACACATCAGTGTGGACAAGATCTAGCAACCCCTTGGACTTATGCTGCGAAGTAGAGAAAGATACTCTATGCTGCTTTCCCATAACATAATACTTACAAAAGTCAAGTTTGCATTGATTTATTCCTGAAAGCATGCCCTTTCGGTGGAGTACTTACAGACCCCTTTCACTCATGCGTCCTAGACGCATGTGCCAAAGTCTCGATAGATCAGTCTTCTCTGCTGCGATTGAAACCTCACCCTCAGTGACACTGCCTACCAGTCTGTACAAGTTCCTCGTGCGCTCTCCTTTCAGAGTAGCAGTAGCGCCCCTGAAGACTGTGATAGCTCTACCTTCACCACTAAGCTTTTGCCCTTAAGCCTCAAGAGCTCCTAAAGAAAGAAGATTTTTCTTTAAGTCCGGAACATACCGAATATTGGAGAGAGTCCTTTCCTGTCCATCGTGCATCTTCATCCTGATGTTCCCAATGCTAACAATCTGACACACTGCATCGTTTCCCATGAGAACTGATCCTCCAGAAACAGGCCTGTAAGTGCTGAACCACTCCCTCCTTGGGTACATGTGATATGTGCATCTTAAATCAAGTAACCAATCATCAGTATACTTGCTCGTACCTGACTCCGCAGTTAGTACATCACAGAGATCTTCTACTTACCCTTAGTGTTGTCAGTCATGCCATCCTGTTTCTTCAAGTACTTCTTGTATGACTTGCAATCCTTCTTGAAGTGACCTGGTCATTTGCACCAAAAGCAGACGACAAAACTAGAATTTCCTTAAGCCTTGACCAGCTCCTTGCCCTTCGACTTCCATTTCTTTACATTGGCCACTAGACCTGAAGATTCCTCCTTGGTGCCCGTCTTCCTGATGAGTTCATTATTCTGAAGCACCGAGATGACATCCTCTAGCCCCAAAGTCTCCTTCCCATACATGATGATAGTCGCCAAGTGATTGTAACTAGGTGGAAGCGAACACAGCAACAGAAGAGCTTGGTCTTCTTCTTCTAGCTTCACCTCAAGAGCCAACAAATCGCCAATAATCCTATTGAAGATGTTCAAGTGTTGCAGAATAGGCGTACCTTCCTTCATCCGAAGTTCATAGAGCTGCTTCTTCTTGAAGAGTTTATTTGACAAACTCTTCGTCATATACAAGCTTTCTAACTTAAACCACATAGCCGCAGCCGTGCTCTCATTCATAATGTTGTAGAGCACCTCATCTGACAAGCACAGGATAATCGTAGCCTTTGCGCGGACATCCATGTCATTCCACTCATCTTCATCCAAAGTAGATGGCTTCTTCTCAAAACCGTCTAGGGATCGGTGGACCCCTTCCTTCACGAGTAACATCGTGACACGCATCTTCACAAGAAAAAATTCGACTTGCCGTTAAATTTCTCCACCTCAAACTTGGTCGCTGTCGTCTAGGTCGCTATAGTAGCTCTGATACCAATTGTTGGAATATTCAAGCTGCGAAAGATAAAACTTAAACAATCAGGAAACCCCAAATTTACCAAGCAATCAAGATAAATAATAAACAACAAGATTTAACGTGGTTCCACGTGATCAAGATGATTCATGTACGTCCACGGGGAGAAGGGGGAAGATCTTATTTCTTCTGAGAAGAGATTACAAGAGGTTGAAACTACACACCCCTAACAACGGTGAAATATAAATCTCTCTTTTTTCTTGTTTTTTCTTCTTCTTCTTATTGTTAAACTCATGGGTTGATACAATATATATGGAGATTGATTTTACTCAATCTTATTAGAACTCTAACTTGAATCCTAATTGGATATCCCAATTCAATTAATTCCTTCAATCCAATCCTAATTAGGATAGTATAACTAATCCTAATTAGAGTTCAAACTCAATCCAACTTCTCAACTGATTTGAGTCATCACGAACTCAACAATGAGATAAGAATAAAGATCCTAATTTTTAAAATATAAAATCATAACCCCTAACCATCATCACAACGTGAGAGTTTAGATGTAGTGGCATGGTTTTTTGACATGGTATCAGAGCAACCCAGTTCAATTCTCACTAACCACTATTTAAAGAGGATTTAAAAAAAAAATTACCACTGCATGAGTCCATGATTCGACCCATAAAAAAAGCTCTCAACCTGCAGGGGCAATGTTAAAGTATAAAACTACTACCCTCAACCATCTCCACAACTTTGGAGATTGGGTGCACTAGCAGGGTCCTTTAACATGATGTCAGAGCGACAGTTTTTAATCTTGTTGGACGCGATTTTTAAGCAGGTCTTAAAAATATTGATGTCACTGCGCTTGTCCAATTTTTCGCCCTCAACTCTCATCACAACTTGAGAGTTTAAGTGTAGTGACAGGATCTTTTGATAGCTATGACTGTTTCCTACTTGATGCTGGTGAAATCAAAACTCACGGCTACAAGCAATCAATTGAAAATGAAGGTCAACCCTTCATACCTCAAAATGCACATGGTATACATTCTGTCAACAATATATGAAACTACAACCACTATTAGCTTACATATATCTTTGATTCTTTTTCATCATTTTTCTTAGCCCTCCAAAGCTGTTAAAAGGATTAAACATAAAATCCTTTGACTTCAAATGCAAAGATGAGCCACTGCAGAAAAAATAAACATTGCAGATTCATCATGCTGTGTTCAGAGCTTGGACTTTGAAGCTTTCTCCTCTACAATACATCTAAAACTATGTTATAATAACTTAACCAGTTTGTTTAATCACCAGGTCTGCAAGAAAACAAGACAATTTCTCACCTCTTGAAAACTGGGTACGATAACTTATCACAGAAAAGACTGATTCCTCCTCCAAAACTCAAATTGAAGGAAATACACTCATGTCACTTAGAGGGAAACTATTTCTCATTCTTCTTACTCTCACGATTATCAACCTCCATTAATGGATATCAAAACAGCAAAGGTACTTGCAGCCATTGCAACAATCACTACCCTCCTCATCATCCTTCCAATCCTCTGGCGATCTCTCGGCCTCTCCAAAATATTCTTCCTCATTGCCGGAATCTCTTCTGCCATAATCCTCAGCATCCTCCTTTGGGTGTTAGCACAATACATAGCCATAGACCACAGAATCTTACTAAACCTGCGACAATCAGCCGAAGAGATTCAGCTAGAATACAGCTTTCTCCGAAGAGTCGCTGGCCTCCCTACCAAATTCCGTTACCGAGTTCTTGAATCTGCAACCAATAACTTTCGATCACTCATAGGCCGTGGCTCTTCTGGTTCGGTATTCAAAGGCATTCTGGAAGACGGCACGGTTGTCGCTGTAAAACTTATACACGGAGTTGAACATGGATTTTCAGAGTTCCAATCCGAAATCTCAGCAATTGCCAGTGTACAGCATGTCAATCTTGTTCGCCTCCTCGGATACTGCTTCCTCCCTGATGGTGGGCCCCGCTACCTCGTCTATGAATTCGTTGCCAATGGCTCTCTTGACAACTGGATATTTCCAAAAAAATTACACAACCAATGCCTTTCTTGGCCCTTGAGATATCGCGTTGCAATCGATGTGGCAAAGGCATTGGCTTATCTGCATCATGACTGTAGAGCTAGAGTCTTGCATCTAGATGTCAAGCCTGAAAACATATTGCTTACTGAGGGTTTTCACGCCGTTGTATCGGATTTTGGTCTGTCAAAATTGATGAAGAGGGACGAGAGTAGGATTGTGATGACAGTTCGAGGGACTAGAGGCTACTTAGCTCCGGAATGGTTATTGGATCGCGGAGTCACGGAGAAATCTGATGTTTATAGCTACGGAATGGTTCTGTTTGAATTAGTTGGAGGTCGAAGAAATGTGCAAATGGTTCAGTTGGGCGAAGGAGACGAGAGAAAATGGTCCTATTTTCCAAAGATTGTGGCTGAGAAATTGATTGAAGGGACACTGATGGAGGTTGTTGATAAGAGAGTCTTAGGAGAAATTGATGAAATCCAAGTTAGGAATTTGGTTAAGGTTGCACTGTGGTGTGTACAAGAGGAGGCTGGGCTAAGGCCTAGTATGGCTAGAGTTGTGGATATGTTAGAGGGGAGGATTGAAGTTGGTTCACCTCCGGAGACTGAAATGGTCATTGTGGATATTTTGAGTAGTGATGATATGAAACCCATCGCGGGTGGTGATGGTGGTGATAATGGTGATGCCCATGCATCATCGTCGTTGTTGGTGTTCAGATCAGAAGAGCAGCAAATGTTTGGGTCGAATTGTTCGTTGAGTATGAGTGTTCTGTCTGGTCGGTAGAGGTTAGAATATGCATTTGTCGAATTTTCGGAGGTTATTTGATATAGGGTTAATTGCAGATTGACACCCTGTAATATCGCCCCATTATGGATAGAACCCTTGTACTAATCACCCAATTGCGGGTAGACCCCTTGAGTGAATTTTTTTTGACTCTTTTACACTTAAAGGTCTGTTTGTCGAAAAACAATTTCCTCTCTCTGAGGGTAAAAAAGGCAAAGAAATTCACTTAGGTGTCTATGTGCAACAACAGAACTACAGGGGGACTATGTGCAGATTGGGTGCTAGCATAAGGGATCAATCCAAAGTTAACCCTATGATATACGGCAATTCTTGATCCGAGAAACATAAATGTACTCTTATTAATGTGGAATAGATTGAGTTATTGGATTTGAATTGAACTGTCAGTTCAAGTATAAGTTTGTAGGTGAAGAAGAATATTTTTTATCAAATGAGACTGTATTGTCTAGAGTTTGTTTGCCAAAGAGTATGACTTGTTTAAAGATTCATAGAAAGGAAACCTACTTACGGTTATTTTGTGTTTTGGCTCCATTTATTTCAGTGTTTTTGGTCATGTTCTTTTGAATCAAATTGTATTATCCAGATATATCTTTTTGGTTGATCAACAGATGATATATGTTCCATTTGTTATGTATTCTTCATAGATAGATAGCATAGCTTTTGACTTTGATTCTCAAAGCTCTTGATTTGCTGCCAGTGTCACATTTTCATTGAATTTATTTATTTATTTGTAATATGACACTCTGCTTTGAACGGGAAGTACTTGTTCAATGCGTTTACTTCATTTGCCTTGATCATTAGAGATTGTTTATAATTTAATGTTACAATTTTGTATCTTAGATGTTGATGTGCAGTTTGTGCAGTTGATTAAGTCATCATTACCGCTATCATAATTTATTATTACTAGAAATATAATGAT